TTTATTGTTGAGATAGGGAAATGAGGTGAAGGAGATATATGCCAAAGATCAGATAGATTAAGGCTAAGAACTGAGACCATGTCTGACAATTCTCTTAATGATAAGAGAAAGTATTTCTGTTTGGTTATGGCAAACTAAAACAGGTAGTCTGCCATACTGAAGTGATGTCTGTTAACGTTTTTTTGGAATTCCCCCCTCTCCTCCACCGCCTATTCACAGCTAAATGTATTTTCACTAACAATGATTCTGCAGTGCTTTTGTACTATATGTACAGGAAGCTGAATGAGTGTCTGGGGACCTTTTAACTGGATCTATAAAAAGTCTGTGTCAATAAAATCCTGTCACATCTATCCTTCAGTACAGTGATTACAGAAGAGGAAAAAAGAAAGACACTGCTCAATGTGACTGCAATATTCCAGCGCGTAATCTTCTCCCATGTGGTCATGTTTCCTCAGATAAGAAAAATTGCCGCTCTGGTGTCAGTGGGGATGGGGTCACTGAGTGGGAACAGGAGCGTTTTCATTTTTTTCACAATGGACAGTTGTTTTGTGTGTTTTCCTGACTGGATAAACTATGTCCATGGTTACTGAGCAAAGTTTATTTCTGTAGGAAATAGGTAACCATGTTTGTGCAGTGGGGGTATCAGAACACAGAGGATTTGAAAGAAAGGGTCCAGAGGTCATCAGTAGAGGGGATATGATGAGGAAATGCAGTGAGATATATCGTGTGGATTCTGGCATATACTTCATGGGATGCTTCCTTTCAAGCGGTGGTGAGCAAGAGAGGGGAATAGAAGCTCTTTGATAACATAGCAGCAGGGTAAACTCATTTCAGGGCCAGCTCTTCACCTTGTATAAAATAGTGCAACTGATTTATGCCCACAGAGGATTTGGTTTGAAGCTTTAATTGCTTTCTTGGCTAAGTTCTGTTTTCCTTATGTGTGCTCAGACTATCAAAAGAGTGTTAAATGTGATATTTCACCAAAACCTGTTGATCCTGCCACCTTATTTGTTCATTATGTTCTCTTGAAGTATTGCTGCAGAGTAACTTTATTTCATAGCTCCAATAAAATTGTGGCCAGAACTACAAATGGCTTTGAGAATGCCAACAGCATTCTTAAATTGTCCTTTCTTGTTAAGTGACCAGTGGAATGCTGTCAGACTATAAATGTAGAGTTAATCTTACCAGATAATTTATGCCATTGCTACAGTGTTTGTATCCTGTGTTTCCACATTCATCTTCAGGTTTCCACATTGCTTCAGGTATAACGTGCACTGTGACCTTGTGCAACTGTATTGCCTAGAGCACCAATTAAACTGTAACTGCAGCTCATGTAGGTATGAGTGTAAAGCTGAGTGTTGTGGAGAGTGAGAAGTGTTGTGCAGAGCAGACTAAAGACCCTGCCCAAAAACCAGGATGGAAACTCTGGCAGTTGGTTTCTGCTGAGTGCTTTGCAGTTATCCTGCCTAAGTTTAGGGTCTAAGGCCCTTCCAAATTAACATCTACTTGAACTGGATTTACTCTTGAATACTGCATAATGCTTGCAAGGAGAAAGCAATGATACTATCCCCAAAGGGTTGACAGTATAAAGTAACAATGGCAAGCAAATAGTGGACAGCAAAAGGGATATTTTAAAATCACTTTGGTGGGTAAGAATAAAATGCATAGAGAGACTGAATTATTTAGATGCGATCAAAATGTAGGCTAAAAAATGTGAAATGTGGGCTTAAACTGAAATTTCAGGCCAGCACCTTATTGGCAGAATGTGCACTACTTTTGATTCACTGTTGCTTTGTGCATGAGTGTATCCATATTTTAGTTATACTTGAATCATAATCAAATATTCAAGGTAGAAAAAATGGCTGTAGCAAATTCAGATGTGACTGTATACCTGGCTGCTTGTTACCATATTTCTGAACCAGGTGGTGGAACAGGATGCAAGAAAGTGCATCTGTGCAGAAGCCATCTGTGTCTGGGTTAGCAGGGAACTGGTTACCTGAGGGTGGCAGGCTGATGTTGTGATGGAGCAAGTCAAAAAGAATTCACCGAGACCTTTTCTCTTATAATATATGCTATGATCTTGTACAATAGGTTAGAAAAAAATGTACTCATTAGAAAACTCATCATTACTTTCCTCATATCCTCCAAAGGATTTCAAAGTTTTTAGATCTTTGAAGTCTCTCTAGAAGTGGTTGAAAGGTGTGAAATTGTGCATTACGCTACACTCATAGTAAAAGATCGTTTTTGCATGGGTAATGTACCTGTCTGAACTGGAGCAGACTTTTTGTGTTACCTTTTCTCTCATCGTGTGCATATTCTTGGTATTGGGAAGCTGTAATGCAATCTGGTACTCAACAGTTTGTGATGTACAATCAGTTCACTACTCTTATAGCTGTAGTAACGCCTCATAGTTGCAGCACGTCTTTATGTAGCACAAGAAAGTCATTGGTCCTCACAGCATGCCTGAAGTGCTGCTGGAGGCTGCAATGAAGAAAGTGAAATTAGGAATTAGAGTAATTTTTTGGCTCATGCAGTCCATCTGAGGGAAAAAGAATGATTGGACCACCTGTCAGTGGTAAGCCTTTTCCTTGATTGCCATTCTTATGGGCAATGTCAGCTGAAGCTCCCTGTGGGCTGAATGCAGGAGGATTTATGATGATTTGTATTACAGATCATGGATTTGCTGCCGATAAATAATGGGTGTTCAAGAAGGTGGTGTGAGGCTGTGCACAGCACCGCATGGTGGGAAGATAAGACCCAACAGACATTTATTAAAACAAGAAAGGAGAAAACTGTACACAGGGAGGAATGTTTTCTCCATGAGGGCAGTCAGGCAGTGGAGCAAGCGCCCAGAGGGGTTGTGTGGTCTCTGTCCTTGGAGGTTTTCAAGACCCAGTTGATCACAGCCCTGAGAGTTCTGGTCTGACCTCACGACTCAGCCTGCTTTGAGGAGCAGGTTGAACTAGAGATATCCTGAGGTCCCTTCCAAACTAAAGTATCCTCTGATCCCATTACAATTTACACCACAGAACTTTACCATGTACTTTCTTGAGGAAGCTGATACATTTTTTTTTTAGAGGAATCATACATCTCTTAGAAATTATTCTTCAGCTTTGATTAAAGAATTCTATCCTGTTATAACTATTTTGTTAATTATGCTTGTCATTTACAAAATGGATGACATCTTATCTCAAAACTCAACTTATTCCAAAACTCATAGTAAAACCAAAAACCTCCTACCTCTTTTGTGCTTTTCTTCTTTTCCTTCTTCCTCTCCAGAAAAAGTTCCCAAATAGAATTGAAAAAAATCCCCTGATTGTTAGGTGAAATATCAATATAGAGGACAATATTTATTGGTCCAATCTTTGGCTCCATTTTAGTGTTTTTAGTTTGTGTCCTTAAATTTAGGATGATGTCTTTTGTTCTTATTCAAAGAAGGTTCTGCTAAGTCACTGGGGCAATAAGAGTAAATTGTGGGCCACGCAGGGCACATAATTTTTCAGACATACATTGGAATGGTAACTGGAAGTTCCCATCATCTCATTTTAGGAGTTAATACTCAAGCATAACCAATTGTTTTGTGTCTGCGAAAGTCATAGAGGAAAATACTTTTATATTCTTAGAAATGCTATATTATATTGCAGGAATGAAGTTGCAAAAAAATACAAGAGGAGAATAAATAGCATGACATTGTTCCAAGATATCTATTAGGAATTCTCTGAGCTAAATCCATGCTAGAAATTCAAGCATGTTTTTTGCTTGAATCTTTAAATGATCTAATGCACATGGCTCAGTTTTTATTCACCATATGCAAAGGTGGTATATATTCAAGTCATTAGTGAGAGGATAAAATTTTGAAATCTTTGGCATCGTTTTTGGTATTTAACTGGAAGAAGAACATGATAAGAATCACATTCAGATGGTATTTGAAAAAAGAATAGGGTTACATTGTGCTGTCAACTCTGCAAACTTTACTTACCTATCTCTTCAGCTAGTATCACTTATATCTCAGTAGGGCTATTGATTTGATAAAGGAGGATTTAGACAAGTAATGGTGGCAGAAGTAACTTAAATTCAACTTGTTTGTCCCTACACCATGAAATAAATTCCTCTTTAACAAAGGCCGATCTTCTGTCTCTTTTTCTCATTCTCAATGGTAATGTACTCCAGCTGTAGTAACGTATTTAGCAGTGAAACACAAACACCAGTAAGGAATGAATTAATCTCATATAGATTTGTTGTCTAAAAGTTACACCTATCTGAAGAAGTAGCTTTGGCTACTTCCAAAATTAAGGCAAGCAACAGGTGTTCTATCAGAGCTGTTCATCCCATTATAGGAATATTTTGTTGACTAGCTTAAATTTTGTTCACATTGTAGTTAGTTAATGCTACATGAGATAAGCCCCACTATAAGCATCATAGAATTTCTTCTTTTGTTTGCAGAAGTGGTCGTGTTTATATATATTGATCTTTCAAGGTGGAGATGAAGTACATTAAGAATGGTATTCTAGTATTCAAAAATAGCCTGTGAGTCATTACAGGCTATTTTTCTTCAAGTATTCGAGGAAACCTACATTCTCCCAGCTATTATAAATAATATTTTCATTGACTAAAGTGCCAATCTTCTGTTGCAATTTGTATATTATGTAGCAGATTCATTCCTGTTCAACAGCTTTCTGAGCAGTCATTTACTTTACTGTGCCACAAAGTGGGATGCAAGCCAGCAACATGAACAACATAAAATAATGATAGTGTGTACAAACCTATCAGTAGCACACCTTCAGCTCAAATATTTGCTGTATGCAATGTTTTGGTCCTGCAGTGCACAAAGAACCTTTTGTCCAGAAAGCCAATAGAAATCATGGAGAATCACTTTATATTTTCTGCAGAAGGCTGTGAGATTAGCCAGAGCAGGAAAATACCAAAGCGTCAGTCTTGATTATGCAAACATTAATTCAGAACAAAGATTTTGCTTTTATAGCTGTATTTTTTTTTAACAGGTACACTGTTTCTCAGAAATACGAGAAGACACCAGGCTCAGTTGCAGTCCTAAACACACTTTTGCACCGATTTCCCCAGTTTCTTGGCTGCGTATTTAAGGTGAGCCTGTAAACCAGGGATTACTGAGTCCTGCAAAGGCAAAGTGACATTAAGGGTGGCAAAGCCACGCAGTCAGAATTGCAGCTGCGGAATTGATACACCTGATGTGGTCTCTCTTCGAAGATCTGAAAGGATTTGGTATAAAATGAGTTCGTGGTTAGTTATAAAATGAATTAGAAAGGGCTAGTTATAAAATCTTGCAGTGCTGATTGTGATGAATATGCTGCTTCAGCGACACTAGCACTGAGGGAAGTATTTTTTTCGCCAGATCTCTATTCTCAGTGGGAAATATCTGAACCTTGCTGATGGTCAAGTGGCCCAGAGACACAATACACAAAATAGACTAGTTCTATTAAGTTGCTTTTTTTGACATCTCTCCAGCCCAGTTTGTGCTTGGAATAAGGTGAGGTCCCCTCTTCTATAGGCCCCCTGTATCTGACAGATGAAGCGACCCCAGGGTTCCTCGACGTTCTATTACTTGTGTTTGACTGACTTGCAGAACTTCAGTCCCCTGCTTTATATTGCCAGTAGGTCCAGCTTTCAGCAGAACCGTGCTGGCTCTTCAGATGTTTTAAATGGAACAATGCATTATTCATATGCCATAATATGAATTCATGGCCCTTCCGCAAAGGAAATTACTTCTACCTACTTCTAAGACTTCTCCCATTCAAGAAAATTAAATGAAGCACTCAGAGACGTTTTTAATTGCTTACGACTCAGTTGAGAAACTTCTAAGAATGAGTTTCTTTTTGTAATGTAACTTGAGAGCTCATTCATTGAATGTAATTATGCTGTATGATGGATTGGGAAGTATAAGTGGAGAGCTAAATAAGATGGAGATGACAAAATAATGGTAATAAAAATAATAGTGCTTGGGTTATGTGATACTTCCTGACAGTGTACATCACCACACTGTCACTGTCTTTGAATACTAATGTAGCCTTGTGACTTCTTCCTGTAGCATACTTTTAGCAAACGGCTTGCATTGTCTCTCTTTGGTTCTTTAGTGTACAAATGGCTTGGCCACAGGCTTTGGAGCTCTTTGGAAAGGTGGGAATGAGGCAGCCTTTCGTCCTCCCTGTGGAGTGACTGCAGACCTGCATCCTTGGGGTCAATGTACTGCCCTTCCTGTCTGTGAGATTGGGTGGGATCTGTGAGATCTGTGTGAGTTCGGGAGACTAGCCATGCCTCTGCTCTTTCCCTGCCTGGGGGCTCAGCTGGAGTCCAAGACGAAGCCTCCAAAGCGCTGGAAAGGCCACTGGGTGCAGACTCATGTGTGTAACACCATAGTGACCCAGATAAGGCACTGAAGTTGTTTACCACTAATGAAACCTCCATGACTTTTTCAATAGCAGTGTTAGAAAAGGCTTTTATAGATTCTTTAACACAAAGCAAACACATTTTATCAGTCACATGAATGAGCGTGTTTGCCTGTCTAAATTGCTGTATGGTACCAGGGCTGTTCCTGTTAATCTGTAACTAGGAGGCTGGCTGGAGAAGAATCAGTTTGCCACCTTGGTGAAGCCTTCACTGTGGCCTGCAGAGGAGAGCAGCCCACACAAAAGTAACTAATAGAGGTGGCCGAGGTATAGTCTCAAAGAGAGAACAGGAGTACTTCTGAACATGAGATATGTGGGGAGGAAGGGCTTATTGCTAAACATTTTATTTTCTGAGTGCTAACTTTTGCTGTAACTTAAGAAACCAGACTACATGTGCTTTCCAGACTCCCTGGTTTTGTCTAGTGAGACGAATCCAGCCTTTCCCACTCTTCTGTTTCTCTTTTCCCACCCTATTCCAGATGTGCAGGCCTGCATAAACCAGCAGGATTCCAATTATAATGATACTTTCCCATTCACTATTCATCCAGTTTTTTCTTGATGTGAAAATGAAATGTGACCCAAAATAACCCAGTTTCGGGGAGGGGGACACGGACAGAGTCTGTCATTACGTACATGCAATTCATTTTTCCACAGTGGGTTTTTTTTTTAATTTTATCTTTTTTTTTTTTTTTTTTTTTTTTTTAAAAAAAAAAAAAAAAAAAAAAAAAAAAAAAAAAAAAAAAAAAAAAAAAGTTCTAGGAAAAATATTAAACCC